AAATCCAAAACTTTGTTCGTCTTGTCGAATTATTAAATCCATTATTGCATTTCAAAGTAATCAAAAAATATGCTTTGAGTGTTCAACCCGTATAAATGAAAGCCGAAAAAGAAAAAAGAAAATGCCATAAAATCCGAAGAGATTAAACATATAGTTTATAGTTTATGTAAAGCTTATGGATATTGAAGGATAAAGCAATATACTTATGAATCATAGAATAGTTGTAGATATTTCTCGAATGATTAATGAATTAGAATTAAATGTTACAGAGGAAGTTTATTCAAGTTCATTACCACTTGAAATCGTAATGATCTTTGAATTTACCATAAAAAATATGATAATAAACAAATCAAGACTACTTCATTTACCTATTGGTGTAATTTTCGTTGTGAATAGAGCTGGGATCCTTTGAATATCCATTATGGCTATTCACTAAATATTCATTTTATATGAATACACAAAATGATCAAATAGATTAGATTATTCACGATGAACTTAATGTAAAGCCACTCCAAGCGGATTATTTGTTTAACCCCTCCCCCCTATTTTTGCAAATTTAAAAGAAATATTATACATTATAGATAGCCAATAAGATTATCCTATTTTTTTATATTTGATAATATTTTACACTACAGGAAAGAACTTCATAGTTTACAGTGATTGTAGAGAATCGGTTTTATAATATTTATTAGGATACATCTAATTTTATCAGCTCTTTGCAACCTCAGAGCCAATTTAATCGAATAACAGTGCCCTTAGGCCTTATAGCCACCGGGCCACTTAACTACAGGTAAGTAGAAAAGGTCGATAGAGCAATAGCAAACAGAAAAATAACTGACTTTAATCCAAAGTATAACTCCTAAACAACCAAACACTTCTATCCCTTCCATTCACTATTCGCATGCAAATCACACCCGTTTTCCTAATTACATTCAGCTCACTACCAGTTTATTTGACATTCTAAAAAAAGTACAATCGTAGATTTACCCACATTATGCAAATAACAATAAAGGGCTAAACTAATTATATGTGATCCGCAATAAAGTCTCATGATCTCGCAATAATAATTGCTTTGTCATAAGCATATAAATTATAAAAAAAAGCAATAAACATATGCTTAGTACAAAAATAGCAAATTCGCATCTTAGCAAAAACAATGTGCCAAAATCTTGTGCTATTTTAAAGCTAGTGGCTCTTAGTCTTCGAGACTATACCGAATTTAGAAGGTCAGTAAGTGTGAATTTAAGAAGTTGATAGTGTTATGGGCAAATTCGTATGTACTCCAGCTCTGCCTCGCAGAACGATAGTTGTGTGAAGCCAGAAATTGAATGCGCGTCGCATGAATAATGAAAATGTAGATCAGATCGTGAAAGCCTCAAGAAAAATTAACCTAAAATGGTAAAGACAATCTACATTAATCCGATTGATCGAATGATGGATAAAATGAGACGATGGGTCAATATTACCTTGAAAAGTAAAGTTTGTGGGCACCTTCATGTGCTTGAATGACTTTGCGTGACTGAGAATGTTGTTTGAAGCAATAAGAGAGAAGAACCATCGAGAAATGAAGGTTGTATGGAAGGGTAATGGTTTAGTTTAAATGAGATAGAATGCTTAAATTCAATGGCAGTAAGATAATAAAAATTCAATTTTATTCTTTTCTCTGCAATTTGTTATAAATAATAGATCGAATTTCTCTTGTTAGAAAGTAATTAGAACCCGATACAATAAAAATTTTTAATATTTCTTTCAATAAAGTTTCCCAAGTAAATTACCAACTGAAACTTAACCGCTTTTTAAAACTTACCTGAAAAAACTCTGTAATGTTACCTTAGACTTGCCGAATGTATTTGCCTCACCTTTACAAGTGAATTATATTACACGACGTCTATTAAGATAACAGATTTTATAAGCCGTTCCTTGTTTCTGAACTATTTCCTTTGCGTACAAAAAATTATTCTTAAAAAAATTTCACATTTTTACAAATTGAGAATAAACTTATAAGGGCTTACCCGCAAGTGAATAAATTACTGTGTTCTTATATTTGCAACAGTTCATAGGCTACTGCTTAATTATACAGCAAGAATCTATAGTAGATTTGCCTTTCTTGTTTTTGAAACATGCTTTATCTTTGGTTTAAGTTACTGAAAACATTAAATGTATTCTTCCAGAATGTGTAGTGAGTATAGAATCCACAAATAAATTTTTTTTGATTTTTTTGATATAATAACATTGGGGCAATATGATGATAGAGAGGTATGAGTTTTGTTAGACAAGGAAAATATGATGATAGAGAGGTATGAGTTTTGTTAGACAAGGAAAATCTAAAGGCTGACAAGAAGTCAACAATAGATTAAAAGATGACTTAAAAATGTTAGAAGTTTTTGAATTTTTGCAAGTTAAATTTTGTCTAGTTACTGAGTCAAATTTAGATGCATTAGATACAACACAGGATAGACTAAATGATAGTCCAAATGCTTTTAGTATTTTAATGTAAACCTTTACTTCCCCAATACTACACTAAACACAATAATTGTCGCAGCTGATGCTGAAATTTTGACTTATTTTATTATGAAATTTTAAAAAATTTTTGGGCCTTTTCGTTAGGGTTTTTTTTTAGTGTTAGGTTAGGGTTTGAGGGTAGAGTTGTTAGTAAAAAAGTATATCTGAATTTTAGTAGGCATTATAGATTTAAATTGGGACCCTAAATTTCAGCATCAGCTGTGACAATAATTGTGATCGACTTTACAATGAAATTATTAAATTTTTTCAAGATCAAAAAGTTGGTTAAACAGGTGGTTTACATGATATGATTGGCAGAAAATTTATAAATCGTCTTATGAATGCTTTTTGGTATATTTACCTACATCTTTCGATATTAAATGCATGTTTATATCATTTACCAGATATTTTTATACAACTAAAAAACTTATAAGAATGGTGAAACATATAACAAATTTTACCATACTAGTCATCACAAAAAGAGTCTATTTCAACAAAAACTTGCTGATCTTTTGAATTCTCTTGAATTATCTATTAATTAACTATGGACAAGTAATGATATATAAAATCAAGTAATGTTCGCAATTTTTTCTTTGTTTAAAATTTTAAGAAAATATTTAGAATACCTTGCTACAATTAATTCTAGTATAAATAAGCTTTATAATAGTAATAAAAGTGCTTATAATCCTGAAAATAGCACTACTATGTATCAGGTTGGTGTCTGTAAAGATTATGGTCTTAAAGAAATTTATATTGAACTAAATGAAGCTTTAGTTAAAAACCTGTTTTATGAAAATATTAATATTTAGCTATATTTTTCTATTGATGTTATGAAACAATGTCGATATTTAAAAGAATTACAGCTTGAATTTCTAGTAGATATATAGATATTATCAAAATAATTATTTAGAAACTATAAATTATATATGGGAAATTCCTGAAACTGAAGTGTTTAATGATGCACAAAATGAAACTTTAAAAGCACATATGCTTGCTAGGATTCATAAGGAATTGCCTTATTATTTTACATGACAAATGTGGTTTTACTATTCCTGAGATCTAGGATTAGTATAAAGTTGTTTTATAATGCAAAACAGCAAGTCATAGAAATTTATATTAAATAATATAGCGATAGCAATACAATTGATAAATTTGATGTATATTAAATAATATAGCGGCAGCAGTATAATTGATAAATTATATATTAAAAATGTAGCGATAGCAGTACAATTGATAACATATGGGCGAAAATTTTTAATGTAATGTTAATTCGAATCACTAAACTCAAAAATTCCGCCCATATGTGGGTTAGTTACTCATGAACAGCGTATAAGTAACTGATAACTAAGCAATTTTCAATCACTGGCAAATAATCTTAGTAACCATATGAAAGTTATACTAAATTTTTTAAAAAATTCATCAAACATTCGGACATCGGTCAAAATTTTTTTACCGATGCTCGAAATTCTAGAGTTTGTGATCAATCAATGCTCGAAACTCATTGATTCCACTCTCTATTCATTTCATCGACAATCACTTTACTGACAACTTGGTTACAAACTTACAAACAATTAATTTATAGACAACCTTATTTTACCGACGATTAATTCATAAACCGATAGCTTATTTTACTGACAACATAACTCTGGTCATTATCATTAGGGTAGATCTAGAACTAAGGTTAGTGCAATTTATAAAAAAACTTGTCAGTAAAATGTGCTATTTGTGAAATAAACTGTTGTCTGTGAATTAATCGTCGATAAAATAATTACATAAAAAAATTATTCCTAATCAAAGCCCCCCTGCACATTGAGAAAAGATCTTGTTAAAATTTTATACTCAGCCAAATCTCGTAGCCCTTTGTCAATTATAAATCGTATTTGTAAAACTTAACAATTAATAGAATTTTAATTACTATGTAGAATTTTTTTTTTATTGCGTAAAAAAAGAAAAAACCATGTTCATTCGAAATTATTCAGTGACCTTTATTATATTCTATAACATGAAATATTTATGAATTTCGAATTTATTACAAATAAAAAAGTATTTTTGTTTTGTTAATGCCAGGTTTTTGTAAATTTTTTGTCTGGCTCAGATTTGTTGTGTCTTTTGAATTGGTTTGAAATTTGATTAATGTTTTTTAACCATTTCTTTTGCTGCTACAGAAGATTATAAGACTTATCAAGAAAGTCAAACGCCTATATTAGAGTAACATCGATATTAAATTTAAGTTTGTATGTGATTTTGTCTATGTTGTTTCCTAATCTTGTCATTTGATTTGAAAGACTTATAATTACATAAGATCCATTCATGCACCTTCTTTTCAGTATTAATCATAGTTTTTATAAACTACTCTTTGAGATCTTCGGGCATTCATATTCTACTCTTGGAGTTAAGTACTCAATATATATATTTATTTATTATTTCAAATTCATTAATTTATTAATTTTTCGAAGTAAAACCTATTAATGAATTTCTTAAGTAATTTGACCTTATGTATCAATAAACTTGTTCGTAGTAAAACTTTCTACCTATAGTAAAAAAAAAAAAAATCGATATTTAATTCCCTATTAAACTTAAATTTAATATACAAATATATATATATAAGATATATCTGAAATTTTGTATAACTTAGATCAAGATTAACGATAATGGTAAAATTTTATTAAAGTAGTAATTTTTAAGTTTGAATATAACAAATATAAAAAATTATATCATTATTATATATATATATATAATTAACAATATTTATAAAAAGAACATGCATAAGATCGGATAAAAATAACACATTGTTCAGCGATCAGCTACCTGTCGATACAATATTAAGAAATTAATAAATTATCGCCCTAAATTCATCCAAAGGTTTCCGCACATTCAGAAGATTGTTAAAAATTATAAATACTAGAGGGAACTTTTAAAATTTTTTATTAAGAACCATCAATTCGTTATAAAAAGAATCGACTGTATGTGTCATTATTGTAGATGCACCAATATCACGAGATCGCCGTTTTTTTTTTCAGACACACTTATCACATATTAAATAATAGAGTAACTAGAACACATATTTTTATATAAGATACTTTTATTTCTTAATAGAAAAACATAACATATTCTTGTCGTTAAAAATAATAACATAATAGTAGAGTTCATATATTTAAAACGACCCGCCCCCAAAAATATCGTATTCACCTGACGGGGGTGCGGGTTTTGCCGGAAACTCGTCCCCTTCATATATGACGACTGATAAATCGCCATTATTTTTGTCGAGTTTACTGTTGAATTTTTCCATTGCTTATTTATTTTGCTACAAGGTTGAAATAATCGTTAGAAAATCCAATACTAAAAACACTAATTCAAAAAAAACTTATATACTAACTTTTTTATTCAAAGTATTTAATTTTAAGTTCTTAAGTTAAAGCTTAATTAAGACTTATTTCTTACTGTAGTTTTGAAATAATCGTTAGCGAATTCAATAATAAAAATATGAAATCAAAAAAAAATTTTTACCTCCAAATTATTGAAGTCAAAAACTTAAGCTTAATTAATGTAAGTTCTGTAAAAAGTACCGTACTTTTATACATTTCTTTACTTTGTTTAAGTTACTTAGACACTATTAAATTTAAACAAAAGAAAAAGACTAGTAAAATTACCACGCCGTAACAGTTATCAAATTAACTGCGCAACTGCACGTAATTTTTACGTAATTTGATCCCGAGTCCGGAATAAATCAACTAGTGCTCGGCACAATCAAACAAAAATTTGATACAAATACTTTTTGGTTAAGTAGGACGTCAAACGATATGTAGTATTGGTTGATCTGCGACATTTGATGTCCGACCTAATCACAAGTATTTGACAATCAAATTTTGTTTGATTGTGCCGAGCACTGGTACCAACATATTTCACAATAAATACAAGTATACATTATAGTATTAGGTATATATATAAGTTATACATATTATATTTCACTTTGTCTAAATTTATTTAGAAAATTCTTTACAGGTATAAACAAAACATAGCTAAATTTAACAGTTTTGTTAATACGATTAATGTATATGTTTTCTATAAATAAATATATATGTTTAATAATATATTATATTAATAAGTACAGTATATAGTGTAAATGTTATTATTTAAAATTAATATGGTGGACGAAGCTTGTCAAAATGTCAAAGGATATCAAACAAATTATTATTTGTAAACTTGCCGAAATCTGACATATATCAAGTTTTTTTCGGCATTAAAAGTAAAAATTCAAACAGGTTTTTAATGAACAAAAAATATTTATTAAAAATAAAACCAGTTCGAAGAACTGGTATATTTACGTACACGATAACCAGTACAACTGGTAGTCCTATTTTAGCAACTCTTATTGAACTAGAAATTGAATTTTTCAGGTGACGAACTAGTTTTTAACAATTTTTTCTTATAATTAGGACTAAAACTTGGCGATTGTACTTGCCAAATGAGTAATACGAATAGTTGTGGTGTATGATTTAGTAAAGTAGTGTATTACGTGTTATATTAGCAAACAGCACAACAATATATTGTGTATAGTATGAAACGTATATAAAATTTATGCAAACGTGACAAAGAAAACTAGATTTTGGGCCAATTCTGAATAATTTTATTATGTCGAGTCTGTTATGTCATAAATTAAAAGTCCAAAACTTAATTTAACTTTTTTATAAAAATTAATATTGTAAAAATTTAATCCGATCAGAACTAATTTATTAAGTTGTATGATCTAACTAAATCAATATTTATTAAAAAAAAAACAATAGATTCATTTTATAGATCTTTTATATTAAAGTTTTTAAAAAATTTACTAATTATTTTTTTACATTTCAAATAAATAGTTTAAGCTTAAAATATATATAATTAAAATGTTTTAAATAAATCACTCTTATTCGGTTACAAAATTAATAATCTTAATCTAAAACTTAAATTTTGCAATTGCTTTTTAATTTTTTCTTTTTAATTTTAAAGAAAATCATAAATCTTATATTTTTGCAAGTTAATATTCCATATAAAAAAATAACTTATTTTTTTTCTTGATATTTTTTTACTTAAATTTTGATTTGAGCATAAGATCGTGTTATAAAGAGGATCGAATAAATTATTATGTAGAAGACTGCAGGGGGCTTTTTTTTTTTTTATGAAATTAAGATACTTGTCGAATATTAATACAATACTCATAATAAAATCATAGGATTTTAAAATGACCCCCCTTTAAGAACATCAAATTCACTGGAAGGAGATGCAGGCTTTGCCGGAAATTCGTCACCTTCATATATTACGACCGTCAGATCAGGATTATTTTTTTCGATGAAACTGTTTAATTTCTGCATCTTATGTATTTGCTGTAAGAATGAATATTTGCTAGAGTATTCAATTCTAAAGCAGAAGCTTGAGGCAGACATGCATTTTATAATTTTTTTTTACTTTGTTCAGTTTGTCACTTTATTAAAACTTTAAACAAAGTAGATAAAATAATATGAAAACAAATCTAAAAACTAGCTAACGCATATAAAATTATGACATATTTGTGTAAGGCATTACCATGCCCCGGCCAAAAAATGTATGATTTGCGCATCATGCACATGCATGATTACATGCATACATCACATCTCCAGTAATACGGAACATGGTACTCTATAAAACAAATACTATATATACAGTACATTGTACGTGCGCACATTAAATTTGTTCATTTTACTTTGTTTTAAAAATTATAACTTTATGATTTAGGAATTCCGCAAATTTAAATATAGAAAAATCTTATATCATAAATCTTAGCTCAATTATT